CGTGTTAGTTCGCAGTCTTGTGGATTTCATGGGCTATCCTCGATTCCGTTATTACCTTGTGAAATTCGAGATTGTGGATTAGGGACTGAAGCGGAGTAGGTTTTATTTTCTATGAGCACACTTCTTAATAGAACACAATATTAGTTTTTTAATGTTAGTTTCTGCGGGAATGATGAGACAGCTTTGGGTAAGGTATTTCTACCTGACCAAGGTGTCTCTTCACAACATGGATGAGTCATCATTGTTAGGGGGATTGAACAAGTCATGTAAATATTTACCGGTGTTACCTTTGTGTAGTCTATCTGTAGTTTTCTGAATATTTGTGGAGTTAATAATTTTCTTTGTGCCATTCTTAAAAACTTGAAAAGATTTAGAACTTGTTTAATTTATAATTTTAGTCATCACTGGTCAGAATATTTTCTGTTAATTTTATTTTATTAAAAAAAAAATTGTTTTGTATTAATTTTGTTTATTAATCAAGAAGTGTTTAACATTACATATACTTGTATATCTATCTATATATGTATATATCAAGCGGTGCGGACAATAGTCAATCTCATATTATGTTGCTATGATATTTACTATATTGCCTATTTCGAACTACGTTGTCTTCATTAGGGACACCTAAGGGGACCGGTGAGGTTCTAACCAATATTACATCAACATATTATGTGTATATATGTTAATATTAATTTCGTAAAGTTAATATTAGTTTCGCCAATGCACTCTCACAACTACTTGCATGAATCTAATTTGATCCCCAGCAATTAAGCTTTCAATAGTCCTCCTAATATTCTTTGTTGCACTTCAATTGTAATTCTTCTAAATTTGTTTTCATGGCAAAAACAAAAACTTGTTTTATCACATTTTGCAAATTAATCTACTGTAGGGTAAGCGCGCCAGTGATAGAAATAGCGATAGACAATTTTTGTCTTTTTTTGCTTATGCCGCTCTAATCATTATAGTTATAAACTCCTCCGTTGAACATTTAGAATCTCTAGTGTCTCCTTTTTTCTATTCTCCATTAGCACTTTAAAATTGAAAAACTATTCAGTTATGCAGGTAAAACAAAAAAAACACCTTTTTGCACAAGTAATGGACACCTGGAACTTCAATTGTTCTAGTAATGGACAGGAAGTCGGTACCAGTAATGGACATACCTCAGAAAAATTCTAAATTATTATTTAACTATAAAGATTACATGAATGTTCAACTTACTCTTAGTAAAACCGTTAGTAGGAAGGTATGAAACACACTGATCTCAAGAGCACTATAGAAGCAACAATGATATACATTTAAAAAAACTGTTTTGGGAAATTTGTTCATACAGTTATCAATAGAGGGCATTTTTTTTCACTCTGGAAAAAACTGGAACCTTTTAATCAACAAGGAAGCTTATTATTTTCATTTAAAGTCCAACCTATCTATCACTGAGCCTCCTGCCCCCGGTGCGTTTACCCTAATTCAATGTTCTCTATCTTAATAACTCATTAAGAAACGTTATCTAATGTCCATTGAAACAAATTTTACACTACAAACGAAAGGTGATAATGGCCTGTGAGTTTTATGCTTCTAAGCAAAAACAAACAAACAAATTATATACAAGGAGGAAAAAAAACTTTAATAAAAATTCTGTAATAAAAAAAATTGAGATATTTAATTATATTTCCTGAGCAGTTAGTTAACAACTTTATGGATTCATTTTATATCGCAAAATATATACAAAAATAAACATTTCTTCATCAATATTAGAAAACGTTTTCAATATTTGTAACGTTTTAACTGTTTGCATATTGAAAAATCTCTGGTACTGTTAAAAACATAAGAATACAGTTTTTCTTTATTAAAGTATCTTTTTTTAATTAGCAGCACTGAAGGTATTCAGGTACTGTAATTTTTAATAATAAAACATTCTGTAACACTAAGGAAAAGGAGTCACAGAGAGCAAAGAGTTCATTAACATCATATTTACAGAAGATATAAATAAATAAAGTAGCAAAATAATAGTTTGAAAACTAAAATTATTGTTAGAAATATTATACCAAATAAGTGAGCATTTTTTAAAAATAATTTAATATGTTAATGAATTAGACTTACGAGGTTGTAAAAGTAACTCGTCGATAGCTAAAACAACTAAAACTACTGAAGAATACTAGAACTAATGGGCGCAAAAATCAAATGAAATTACATAAAACCAATTGAAAAAATATACACCTATATTTCTTCATGAAATTAACTAGACCAGACTGAAAAGGTAACTTTTTTTAAATTTTTATTTCATGGCTAGAGCCCTTTTGCCGAGGCCACAAGACGTGGGAAATGGCAGTGTAAAAGGAAACGACTTATCTATAATCTGATTTCGTGCTGGGAGAAAATGACTGGTCATTAGTAAGGGGTGGGGAAAAGGAAGAGCCCGACAGGTAAAAATTAGAGGACTTCTGAAGATATCAAAGGATATTATGTCAGATAACATAAAAAATATTAAAATATGGAAGAAACGAATGGCGAAGGTAAAAAAACGGGACGTTTAATATAACTGCAAACTGAATTAAAATAATAGTAAAGTCTGATTGTACTCGTTTATACTCGTGTACAGAGAAATCTATCTCAAATTGGCAAAAATATAAGTTTTTATATTTAATTAAGATTTTATATTAATTAATTAATTGAGTTAATTTAATACTGAGTTCACTTCAGTTCTAAGTGAAACTCCTTGCTGAACACATTGTTGGCTTTTAATAAAATAGTTTTGCCACTATTTAGTATATTAATGACCGCCACCCCGGACCATCTCCTTCCTTAATAATACTACGGTCAACTATTAAGTATTAAACTAAAAATTATATTCGATAAATTATTTGATTGAATTTCCATTCACATACTTCTGAAGTATAAACTGTTTAAGGAAATTAGTTTTAAACGGTTTTTAAATTTGAAATTCGCCTACGATATCAGCAGCGCAGAAGTAGAGCCCTCCAGAAGAGTCAAGTGACAATTCGAATTCCATTCCGTTTACAGAAGTTGATGGTGTATCAGTCCAATCATTATTGGTACTTATTCAGCTAGTGCTTTCGATGTGAACTAAGTTTTAATTAAGTTGATCGGTCTTCCTACTATTATCTTTAGGTACAATCTTTTCAACATTTTTTGATCTGATTTTTAAAATGAAAATCCTAACTTGATTTTTTTTAACACTATAAAATTATTATTTAATTTTCAATAAACAAGTCTACGTTATTTGCAATCCCCAGTTGGTATGTTAACATAAACAGATAATAATAAAATTAAATCTTTGAATTTATTTGTAGTCCGTAGATCACTTTTTATCAAATTATTAACATCCGTTTGAAACTTCGTTACCTACTAACTTGAACTGTAAGATTTTCACTTGAATCGTAAGATAATTTGAGCACAAAGTCCAGAAAAATGTGGCCTTCAAAAATATTGAACCGTTTGGCGTGACCTACACTCCCAAATTGTCAAAATAACGAGATTATGTAGACCAAACGACCCAATATTTTTGTGGGCCACCTTTTTTCTCGACTTTGTGATTAACCATTTCTATGGAAAAACGGCGCTGTATTGAACCTTGCTGTGAATGGTCAAAGCGTATCTTTAATTAATTATAAAATTAGCATTTCCCTGATGTAAATATTTATAGATATTCTAATCGTCGTTTTCTATTCTTACCGGGTATTGCTTTAAAAAAATTTAAATTCAAATCTTGTTTGCTTTATTCTATTAAAAAAAAAAAATGTATTTTGCATCTGCGCAATAAAATATGAATCTGTTGCAGTCCGTGGTACAGACGCCCTTTTATTAAGTTATTAACATTCGCCTAAAAACTTCGTGAAAGGCTTCATCTTATCGCCATCTACAAATTTTTTATCAAAGAAAATTCTCAGAAATGGGTTGTTTTCTCATTAATAAAATCACAAAATCGAAATAAAAGTGACCTACAAAAATATTGGGCCGTTTGGCCTATATGATCTCGTTATTTTGACATGTTGGGAGAGGAGGTCACGCCAAAAGGCCCATTATTTTTATCGTCCACAATTTTTGATCAAATTATCTTACTATCCATGTGGAAAACAAATAGGTATTTACAAGTCTTTAGTACCTAATTAAATCGACAAAGTTTGCCAATCTCCAGATTGAAAATACCCCAATTCCGTGAATTTTCGTTAATAAAATTTTTGTAGTTTACAATGAAATGAAGCTATTTACGAAGTTTCAGTCGGTTGTTAATAATTTTATTTAAAAAAAAGTCTGTACCACTGACTGTAGGTTCTTATTTACTATTCATTACATTTTGTTTTTTCTTAAGTCTGCATGATTAAATAATATTGGTAGCTTTATTTTCTCATCATTCAATTCTTTTCATTACAATTACTATAAAATTTGGTAGTATTAAAAACTAATGAAAGGGAAAGATTAAGTGGTGAGACATAATTTTCAGACAAGGTCGTAGGAGTTTATTTAATAGTACTAAAATATGTAAAATTAAAGAGAAGGCCGGTTTTGGTGATCAGTAAAATTAAATAAATACATTTATTTTTGTCTACCTTTCGACCCAACATTCAAGCCTTCATCAGGACTGGTCCAACGAAAGGTTTCCACTAGACATTAAAATATGAAGAAAATAATACAAAAAAGAACACTAAAATATGTATAATATATCATATCGCTACTGTTTGTGCAGAAGGTCGAATGTAGCTATTTTAAATGTTTATTCTCTTTGTGCTAACGGTGACATTTTATAGTCTTCAACTGCTATAAGCAGTCTGCTAAAATAGGAAAATAGCTAAAGGAAATAAAATATGAAATACTATACTAATAAATCATAAAGAAATAATAGGTTTTTTATGGTCTGTCAATTTTTACATGCAATATTTTGCACTAACAGTAGCGATTATTTATTCATTAAATAATTATTTTTTAAATGTAATATATTCCTATTCCATCCGGTTAATATCGTGGGAAATAATCAATATTTTTTACTAACTGCCAGTTTGTTCCATTATTTTGTGTAACTTAAACGCGCTAATATGGGAACTCCCTGTTTGGCTTGGGTGAAAGCTACCCCATGCCGCCATGGAATCAAAACTCATTTCCCAAATTCGTCCCGTTGAAAGCGGGAGGGACCAATCAATGGAGGTGATGAGGCCTTTTTTCGTCCCTGATCCTTTTGCCAACTCCGGGAGCGGGAAAGTCGTCACAAATGAATCGCGTATCCGCCAACGCCCTCCTGATCGCCTTATGGGGGATCTATCCATATGGTCTGCCTCTTTCTCCTAAACATAATAGGCCGTAGTTTCCTTTTGAACTTTTACAAAATTGATTAACGATTTAAAAAAATAGCCAAATCTAATTCTTAGTAAAGTTATAAATATATCACTTTATATATATATTTTCCCCATACCAGACTGAAACGACTAGAAACCGCCCGACGTTTTCGACTACTGCAGCACTTACTGGACAAACGATCTAAGCTTTCAATCAATTATAAACAACTCATCTATATGACAATAATAAGGCCTATTTGGACTTACGGAATTGAGCTTTGGAGCTCCACTAAACCATCGAATTCCTCTCGTATCCAACCCAAAATCCTCAACGCTCCTTATTTTGTCACAAATAAAATCATCCATAAAGACCTTAATGTTCCATATGTTTCCGATTTGGCCCAATCCAGATACCTGCCCTTCCATAACAAACTGCAGAACCATCCGAATCCTCTCGTTTCAAACCTTGCTTCCTCCTCGATCTCTGATAACCCTCCGTGGCGTCTGAAAAGAAGATGGCCTCGGGATCTTCTAATATAGAACTTTAATTTGAGTTCTACCAATGGATAGTTTCTCTTCATGTTGTTCATGTCATGTCACCAATTTCACATTTACTTATTGTATTTTAGTAATACAGTTGTAAATTCCATTAAAATAATTTTTAAAAAATATATATATATTTTGAAATTTTACTTATACTTGTAAATTAATCATGAATAATATATGAGGTATTTATCTGTCTATTTTTCTTAGAGAAAAACAAAGAGACAACATTTTTTTTCTGCCTAATATTCTCACTTATTTGCATTGACAGTCTTTATTCCTTATTTTAATCCGTTGTTCTAATAGTTATTGTTCTAATTTTTTTTAATGATTTTTAACTTTAAGTGCTCTTATATTCGATGCGCCCACGATTTGTTATTTTTGGATCAAGAAGTAGAAATTACCAAGAGCAAATATAACACATTGAAATGTATAATAACGCATTCTGCAATCTCTTCGTAAAGTATAATCATTTTACACCAACGATTGAAAAGCCGTACCGTAAACCGAGGGTTACTTTGGAACTAAGAGATTACTATGTACTATAGTTTATATTGAATTTGAAATCATCTGGCGGACTGGAAAATTGTTATATCAAGGCTAAACAAAAGTTGTCTCAATATAAAAATGTTTTAGCAAGCCAGGTAATTTCATATTCAAAATAAACTCCAGTAAACAGTTACCCTCTAGTCCCAAAGTAAATCCGGTTTACGGCATATTTTTTCTTCTATAGCTGGAAAAACGCGTGAATACAAGTTTTATGTATTATAACAGCTTGGTTTTAAAATTGTTAAACATGTCGAGTTTTCTAACTACGAACTACGGTTTACAGTTAGTGTTGGTATTCTGTTATCGTTTAAAACTACTGCTAAATGGCATTGCTTGTCAAAGCTTACAGTGAGCATGCTTTTGGTAAATCACATAGTTTTGAGTTGGCGGAAAAATTGAAAAGTTTTTTTTCATTTCAAATGATAATTGAAGATTAAAAGTTCCATCACTTCCTAAAACCTGGCTAAACCGTTAATACTGAACGCTATAGACAACAATTGTTTTTTTTGTTTTTTTTTTGAGGAATAAAGGAGATGGCCCAAGGTGTCGGTCATAAAAATACTAAATTGGTGAGAAAAAAATTGTATTTCAAGCCGACGTTTCGACCAGACTATGCAGGTCTTCTTCAGTGCTAGAATAAACAATATAGAAAAATGTGGGAGTTACATAATGTTTAGATACAAAATTTAAACAATGTGAATAAACTTCTAAGTAACAAGACCCTAAACTGAAGTAAATAAATGGTAACAATTATTGCACATTATTGGAAATAGGGAGACATTGAGTGTAATAAGGATGATGGGTAATATACACAATTATGAATATAATCCTACATATCTCAAGGAAAGATTGAAAAAAAAAATAAATAAAAAATGGACATGAAAGGAGTGTGAAGAATACAAAAAAAGAAAATAAAAGAGACATACGAGTGTATGTAGTATGGAGTTTCGGTTGAAACTCGGAAAACATGGAGGGAAAGGAGATGCACGTGGGAAATATAGTATATATAAAAAAAAATATGAAATTACGCTTTATGGTAATGCACCATTACACATACAAAATCAGTGAAGTAAACGATTGAGGCTTTTGTATATAATACACTAGAAAAGATTATTATCAATTTACAATTGCGCGACCAGCTAATCATTATTAAAGAACTAGCATGGTATGATTGAAATGGGCCTCTAAAGGTTTATGCTGAATAACAAAGAATCTTTATGAAGCTGAGATCCGACTATTGGGAGAAAAGACTTATATGTTGGTGAGAGGGTTGTGTTAGGTCTGGTCTAGTTAGTGGGATCTCATTATAAAAAATATTTCCCATTCACAGCCTTGTTTCCCATTATAAGTGATTATTCAATACATCATAGATTATCAAAAAAATTGGTTAGATAATTGATATTCAGTTCAAGCTAATTCTTTTAGGACAAAAGTTTATTGTTTAATTACCATTTCTATTCCTTATTAGTCCACTTTATCCGGCAAAACTCAAGCTAACAAAGGCCGAGAGGTTAACAATCCCAGCTTATTCCCTTTTGATATAGACAACAGCTCCATGTCGCAACCAGGTTTCGAAACTTTCCCAATCCCGACCTACCTCAAGCCTAAGTCCTTAAATTGAACCATATTTCATTGTCTAGCGACGCAGGCCGTGTGCTATTATTTCGAAATGTCACCTGCTGCATTCCGTTCTCGTGTGATTTGGCTATGAATTATTTGCGTAACCCTTTTTAGAATGTAAAGCTTCGTCGTAAACTTTATATCCTATAATTATGTTCGTAGTAGTTCTAACGAGATAAGATTGCGTGATAATCCTAATAACTATCTAATATTAAGTACATGTTTAAATTTGAACTTATTTCTGTGTTTTTTTCATTCTTTTATAAATGATGTTTGATATTCGATCGTCGATAATCTATGATTCGATCGTCGTTCTCCGATGTTTATTAAAAATTGATTTAACCAAATATTTATTAAATATTGATCTAACTAGGTAGAAAAAAAAAAGTGTACAACCATACAGATCTTGTGGAGTCTCTGAGACAGAACTGATATTTGGCAGAATAATGACAAGGACCAATAATCAAACTAAAATACTAAATCTAAGAATATTACTGTTATATTCACTCCTTACAAGACGTTGAAAAGTAAAACATAACACTTACTTGTACTTCCTTAAGCTCATTTGGACCTACGGTTCACTGATTTATGGAACAGCAAAAAAGATCAACATACGTAGACTACAAATTTTTTAGTCAAACATTTTCAGGACTCTAACCAAAGCTCTCTGGTACGACCGCAACATTACTTCACATGAAGGCGTACTGATTCCAACAGTTAACGTCCGCATACAAACACACCACAAAATATACACTGTAATTTGCAGGTACATACGAACTCGAAAATATACAACATATTCCACAGTCGAAATGTCTCGTATAATACCCGTAGGGTGCTCAAAAGAAGTTGGATGAGGGATCTTCCAGCTTAACTATAAATATTAAAATCAAAATAGAAAGAGATGCCGCTTAGTACTCCTCTCTCTCTCTGTCTGACAATATCTTACTCTATTTTTATTTACTAGCAGCAAACTCGCTGTTCGTCAGTATTTCTGAGTGAAGAAATAAATTTAAAAAAAAAAAAGATTTTGAACTATAATCCTTCAATTTAAATATCTTTCATTATTGCAATAATTACATAAAGTTTAATGGCACGTTATTCAAATTCATCTCCCATATCTATTTTCTGAATCAATCGTACAACTTATTTGAATGATTTATTAGTGTAAGATCAAATCAGTGTTTATGCAAGTTCGGTGTACCTCTCTCCCGTGTAGGTCCAGTATATGTTAATTCGGCACTTGAATATTTATGGAAGGGCCGGGGTTAACATTGCTAAGTACCGTCGCTGGAGTACACCTCGAGATCCGTGTACTTATGGCAACTACATTTATTATTGAAGCAGTCAGGGTGCAACGTGGGAAAGGTCAGGACTCTTGGCATTCCTCGGTCAAGCATGAGTTGCAATCATGGGATTTTCAATATCTTACAATAAATAGAAAGCTATTTTATTCAATATCAGGTTGACCTTTCTGTGTCATAAAGCAACACACGCAATTTTTTCTAAAGAATTTCTAATGTTCTGACTCACTATTATGCGTTTCGTTCAGTTCTTTAAATATAAATGTCATTGAAATCTATTAGTAGGCTGAAGTGTTGTATTTTCTTCGAATAAAAAATGAAGAAGTCGATACATGAAATAAAAATGGATTTCTGTTATCCCCAAATAGAAATTCAAAGGTTCCATCTATTCACACGTTTCTTTTTCAAAACTTAAAACAATATATTACTCTAGTTGAGATCAGTAACAGCACATATCATTTCAACCGTCTGAAACGGACCAATGTAATCCATCAAAACATCATGTTCTGTATCCTGCGGTTTGCTGAAAGATTTAGTAAACAAAACACATGTGAATTTTATTTCATGAACTGGTCTATCGATGAGAATGTGTAAACATGGTTGGGATACGAGTAAATAAACGGGTGAATTATACGTTTGTGAATTTTGATATTGTATAATATTATTTGGGTTAAGCCAAACTGAGGGGTAGATATTGTTAGTTTTTTACTTTAATTTGGAAGATGATACATTTCTTCTTTTTCTTGAAAGAAAAAATAAAATTCAGTGCTTGCTTGTCTGTAGTATCTGTATTGAGATAAATGGGTTTTCTCCCTTCTCCTCTTCTTCCTCTTTAGACAATGATTCACTCAGTTGTTTACTCCTTTTTCTGAGGAGACTTAATAAAAACTTCTTTATGATTTTGATGAACCGTCATCATGGATCTGATTTTGCTTGTCAATCTTGGTAAGGTATACAAGTAGTTCTACCTTTGCTCCA